GAAGGTTTTTTTGTAATTCAATGTGTATATGTCAAAAACTAACATAGAAAGTATATTTGTACACAGAATAACATCATATTGGTAGTGTTTGATCTTTCAGTGAACTAAATAGAATACATTATGCTCGTTTACCCATTCGCTGATGCTTTGTAGTGGCTATTTCCTACGCGGTTTTTCACATAATCCATTTAGTTTTATAACGTCAGAAGTGCCGGATTTATCATTAAGGTAAATAAACTAAAGCTTGGGGTCTCAACTTTCAAGGAGTTTAAATTTTTATTTTATATTATATTTTGTTTAATTTATATTCTACATGTCTTAAAGTTAAATAATTTAATAAAGACTTTGCTGTGTAGTTACAATCTGTTTAAATAGTCATATGTGTATTTTTTATACAGTAAAAAAATTGAGGAAGAGTTTCAATCTTTTGTTAGCTTAGGGCCTAAAAAATATATAAATTCAGCACTAAATGTCAGGATTAGTTTGTGCATACTTCTTGCATCTCCAGTTCTATACTTGCTATTACGTTGTAAATGCGGTTTTTAAGCACAAATCGTGAAGATTTATAAAAAAATTGCAAACAATAGCGGAAAACACCGTTACTCCAACGTTACCGACTTCATTTCCACCATACAGGAAGCGATAGAAAGTCATAATTTGTCTGAAAACGAAAAATGACAATATGCAAAATTCTCATTAATTATTTATTAAAAATGTATTATTTATCGCTATCTAAAGACTGACTTCTGCATCATCCCACGACTCCGAAACGAACTGTAAAATTAAAGAAAAATGTAAATTTCAGATGTAAGGTCAAATTGTTTGTAAGTTAAGTAGGGAAGCTCCTGTTATCATATTTTATATTAAGATTTGTATAGATATTAAAATACTATTAATGACATAGTTTAAAACTTGGCATTTCACACAAAAATTTTCAGTACATAGTCTACGACTGAGGATAATTGGCTTGAAGTACCATGAGGTTTCATTCAGTATAATATACGAGTCACAGGATTGCAGTTTAGTACTCTTAAAACCGACAAAATTTAATTGACAGGGCACCGGACAAAGAATGACGCAGTGGTGCCCTATCTTATGAGAAAAAAAATGCAATTTCTTCTGGCCCCAAACCAATCTTTTATAAGAAAATATTTTTTGAAAACAATTTTGCTGAAGAAACATGTCTGAAGTAAATACGGCACTTAGGGCTCACAAATTGTAATTTTCTTAGGCCGCGTGATGTTAGAACGCCCTAATGCAGTGATGGCCCGCCACATTGCAACTTGCTGTGTTGGATTTCGCAAATAAAATTCTTAGACCTATCAACAATCGATTGTTTAGGTTTAAACTTTTTGTTGATAATTTTGTCAAAAAGTCTGTCAATTGGCACTGTGATTCCGCTGATATTAATATTTAAAAAACTAATTTATTTATCACTGTTCTTTGAAATGTTTTAATAAGTTTTCAATTGTCATGATTTGATAAAAAGGAAAGGAAAATGTATAATGAAGGGACAAATCGTGACATTCCGGATTGTTTTTTTTTTTTTTTACATTTCTCGACGTTTATACTGTACACTAGCTCAAAATTGTATATAAAAAGCAAACTTTCTCCCAAATCAGTCTGGAAGTTTTTGTACCTGCATGTGTGCCCCGCAGTATCCTTTGCATTATATCAACAAAAAATTTTTAAAACTTCGCAACATTATTTAGCTTTATTTTTAATAAATAATACTAGAAACACCGTACGGGTTAATGATAAATCGAGTGCATCTTATGATTCCAGTACATCTTGCATGAAATGCTTCAATTGAAGTGAACTGTTGTTGATGAACACCCGTTTCGATGCAAATCACGCTGTGATTTCATTCAATATGTGCCAAATAAACCCGACAAATTAAACATCAAGTTCTCTACCCTGGCTGATGAGATATTTTCTAAATGGTTCTTCTCACCCTATTTTAAGATATGTTACGTCCAGAAGAAACATCATTGATGGATCATATTATCATGAAATTTCTCAACAATTATGTTATATACACTATGTGTGACAATTTTTTTACATCTCTTTTGTCATTAATTTACTTACGTTCGGTGAAAACCAGCATGCTTAAACTAGTACGATACAATCGGCGTGAGCCTTCAAGGTGAAAGTAATTATGGATAAAGAACAGATAATGAACACAGTCGTGTTGACCAATGAATGTAGATAACACAATGTTAAGAATTTATAAATCAATAGATAAAAACGTAATTGCCATGAGTTCAGTTACTGACTCCGTTGAGAGTTTCAAAAGAAAACAAGAACAAGACAAAACTAATGTCAACGCACTTCATCAATAGCACGATTTTATAGTACTGTACATGAAGCTCATAAAAACGTTGCTCTGTAACAGAGAGTCAGATAATGTTTGACATGCAATAAAAAGTATTGAGAGAATAAATTAATTTTTCCTCATTTATGAATTTTAATAACAAAAAATAGAGGAGAAGGTGGTATTATGGAACCCCAATTACATTTTAGTGAATTGTAAACAACGTATCATAACTACATTCACATTTTTTGTGCGAAAAGTGCTGGTAACTAGTAATCTAAATGTTCCTAATTGGATTTTTCGCTAGTGTAATTATAAGTATGGTTTTTGAAGGCTTTTGTACAAAAAGTCCGAAAGTAGGCTTAGAGAAAATCGGGTGGTAATATGGAACCTTACTGTATATTTTCAAAAAAATGCTTTAATGTAGCCAAAAACAAATAGGAAAGGACAA